TTACTGAGCTACAGAAAGCAAAAGTTGGAGTCATTTCAAAAAGAGATTTTAGCACAAAACAAGGAACATACCAAGAAGCTTCAAGCAGAAGTTGAGGTTGGGGAGAAACTTAAAGAAACTGTGCAGCATTTAGAAAGAGAGGTAGAGCAATACAAGTTGCAGGAAGAAATGGTAAGCAATTCTGGAAAAATAATCTTCAGAGAGAGTAGAAATGCCATTTCTCACAAAGTTTGCTCTTTGGAAAATGCCATTTATCCAAAAACATTTTTTTAGAAAGTTAATTTGATAAAATTAACACTTAAACCATTCTAAGGCATGCTAGAGGCCTTAAGTTTGCCTGAAATACTCTGCATATAAAGGGGCTTTTGGCATGTACACCCAACTATTATACTTCTTTGTACATACATGTATTATGTCAAAATAAAATATTATTGTGGAGACTAAGCCATTGATGGACACCAATCCACCTCCTGTCACTCCTCTTCACTCTTCTCCATCCTCATAACTCCTTTCTTCGCAGTGTTCCAACCCTTCTCTGCTTGTTCTTTTTCTGCTGCCTCCATGTGTGGACTTTCCTAACCCTGCTAGTCCATAGATACCTCTACTTTCAGATTTCTTGTATCCTTCTCTTTGCAAATCACGGCTTATTTACAGTGGAATATTTGAGGCCTCTGAGGTAACTGGGGTGAGCTTCAGTTGTTGCTCTCCCAGTTTTCCCCCCATTTGTGTTTCTTTAAAAGAACCCAAATTATGCTCCGCTGTTATCCGTCCCATCTCGCGCTATGTTTTATTATATTCATCGGATGCTTTTCCTGATTGAACTTCTAATGAAAGTGCACTTCTTATATGCACAGGTATTTCATACCATCAGCTCTTTGTTCATATTTCACTGCATTACACTGCATCCTGCATCCACTTGAATAAGTGGTATACAATATGTTCTTTCTATCTCTCTCCTCCTCAGGCATTATCTATCCCAGATGTTGCATTTCTGGTTTCTTCCTTACTGCCACCCCTTCTGTTACTTGGCAGTTTGAATGCTCACTATTTCCACTGGGGGATGGGGTCTCACTTTGACCCTTGCGGAATTCAGTTGGAGACTTTTTCCTCGCTTCTCTCCTCCTCCTTGTTTTAAACACAGCTATTCCCACCCATTTTGATCCTTGTACTTAACCCTTTAACTGTTTTGGTCATATATACACGTCTTACGAGCCACCGTGCTTGACGTATATACAGTGGAACCCCAGTATACGATATTAGTCCGTTCCTGAGAGCTGATCGTATGCCAGAATTATCGGAAGGCGAATTAATTTTCCCCATAAGAAATAATGGAAATCAAATTAATCCGTGCGAGACACTCAAAAGTATGAAAAAAAAATTTTACCACATGAAATATTAAGTTTAATGCACACAAACTGAAGAAGACATGCACAGTTTGTAGTACTCTACTAACAATAGAACACATGACACTTACCTTTAATGAATATCTGGTGATGATTGATGGGATGGGAGGAGGGGAGAGTGTAGTAAGGTGGCAAGTCCTTTTCCAGGGTTACCTTTAATGCCACTAGGACCAGCTTGAGTCACTAGACCTCTGTCGCACAACAAATCTGTCCATAGAGCTCTGTACCTTCTGTTCCTTTAAGATTTGTCTAAAATAGGCCATAACATTGTCATTGTAATAGTCACCAGCACGGCTTGCAATAGCTGTGTTAGGGTGATTTTCATCCATAAAGGTTTGTAGTTCAACCCACTTTGCACACATTTCCTTAATTTTTGAAGTAGGCACAATGGATTCCACAACTGGCATAGGCGTCTCAGGGTTAGCCCCAAACCCTTCAAAATCTTTCTTAATTTCCATACTAATTCTCACCCTTTTTACCACAGAGTTGGCACTAGAAGCTTTCTTGGGGCCCATGGTGACTTATTTTGCAGAAACAAGCACCAAAAACACTGTGATAATATGGAATGTACCGAATGTATGCTTAGATGCGAGCACATTGGCTGGCTTGTAAACACTGGCATGCACGGGGTAGTTCAGGCCACATGTGGATGCGTCCTGGACGAATCGCGTGTGGCGGGTTTTTTAACAAGTGACGAGGCAAAATTTTTGCGTTAATGTATCGTATACCGATTTAACATATACCGATGCCATCGTATACCGAGGGTCTACTGTATACAGTGGACCCCCGCCTTACGATATTAATCCGTTCCTGAGATCTCATCGTAAGCTGAAATTATCGTTAGCTGAATTAATTTTCCCCTTAAGAAATAATGAAAATCAAATTAATCCATTCCTGACACCCCAAAGTGTGAAAATAAAAATTTTTTTACCACATGAAATATTAATTTTAATACACACAAACTAAAGACATGCACAATTACTATTCTTCTAAGAATAGAATGCATGACATTTACCTTTACTGAAGATCTGGTGGTGATTGATGGGAGGAGGGGAGAGTGTGGAAGTTATTGTTTAGAAGGGGAATCCCCTTCCATTAGGACTTGAGGTAGCAAGTCCTATTCCGGGGATACTTCCCTTCTTCTTTAATGCCACTAGGACCAGCTTGAGAGTCACTGGACCTCTGTCGCACAACAAATCTGTCCATAGAGCTCTGTACCTCCCTTTCCTAAAATGGGCCATAACATTGTCATTATACAGGTTGCCAACATGGCTTGCAGTATCTGTGTCAGGGTGATTTTCATCCGTAAAGGTTTGCAGTTCAACCCACTTTGCACATATTTCCTTAATCTCTCTTTTTCAATTCCATACTAATTCTCGCCCATTTTACCACAGAGATGGCACTAAAAGCTTTCTTGGGGTCCATTGTGACTTATTTTGCAGTTACAAGCACTCAAAACACCGGGATAATGTGAAATGTACCGAATGTATGCGTAGATGTGACCACACTGGCTGGCTTGTAAACACTGGTGCTGAGGCAACATGTGGGACACGTCTTGGACGAATCATGTAAGGCGAGTTTATCGTGAGGTGAAGCAAAATTTTTGCATTCAAATGCTTCGTATGGCGGATTTAATGTAAGGCGATGCGTTCGTAAGGCGGGGGTCCACTGTACTCAAAAATTCTAGCAGCTTCAAATCCAGCAGAAAGCTGGTAGGCCCACATGTGAGAGAATTGGCCTGTGTGGTCAGTGTGCACCATATAAAAGAAAAACTCTGCAGTATGCAGTGCATAATGAGAAAAAAAAGAAACTCCGACCATGTTTTTAGATTAAAACGCAAACTTTGTTGTGTATTTTCGTATAGTATTTATGGTTGTATTCTCATTTTCTTGGTCTCGTTTGATAGAATGGAAAACATATTATAGAAATAGAAGTGATTTTGATTGGTTTTACTATGAAAAGAACCTTGAAATGGAGCTCAAAATAGGGAAATGTTTGATTTTTGCCGATGTTCAAAAGTAAATGATGTCATTGTCCAATAAATGTCCAACTGGCCATTCTAATATGCAGTCATGAATGGGTTCACATTATTTGTACAATTATTACAGCATTACAATAGTCTGCATAACAGTAAATCCTCTATTGTTTGTTTGACTAAAAATTCAAAATAGAAAGCAAGAGTAATATCAGAGGGACCTGGAGACGTGACTGATGAACAAAGAAAATGTTATTTTAGAGCCAGGAATGTCTGCATTGTTCATTCTGAACCCTATTTTGAAATTGGCATATTCTTTAATTTGCATGAAATTGGCCAAATTTCATATTTCTGACCACGTTATTGGGTAGTTGAAATTGGCAAAAGGGCAGTTTCCTGTACTCAATCGATACAACAAATGGAGTTCTAAAGAAATAGCTAAGAGTTTGGTCGACTGGAACAATGGAATTAGCCAAAAATAGGGCTCAAAGTGGGCGAAATCACCAATTTGTAAATATTGCTGAGGTCGCTAACTTCGCGAGAGCGTAATTCCGTAAGCTTTCCATCAAATTTCATTCTTACGGTGTCATTACCATTGGGAAAAGATTATCATTTCAAAAGGAAAAATAATTTTTTTTTTTTATTATTATTTTTTTTATTATCACACTGGCCGATTCCCACCAAGGCAGGGTGGCCCGAAAAAGAAAAACTTTCACCATCATTCACTCCATCACTGTCTTGCCAGAAGGGTGCTTTACACTACAGTTTTTAAACTGCAACATTAACACCCCTCCTTCAGAGTGCAGGCACTGTACTTCCCATCTCCAGGACTCAAGTCCGGCCTGCCGGTTTCCCTGAATCCCTTCATAAATGTTACTTTGCTCACACTCCAACAGCACGTCAAGTATTAAAAACCATTTGCCCTCCATTCACTCCTATCAAACACGCTCACGCATGCCTGCTGGAAGTCCAAGCCCCTTGCACACAAAACCTCCTTTACCCCCTCCCTCCAACCCTTCCTAGGCCGACCCCTACCCCGCCTTCCTTCCACTACAGACTGATACACTCTTGAAGTCATTCTGTTTCGCTCCATTCTCTCTACATGTCCGAACCACCTCAACAACCCTTCCTCAGCCCTCTGGACAACAGTTTTGGTAATCCCGCACCTCCTCCTAACTTCCAAACTACGAATTCTCTGCATTATATTCACACCACACATTGCCCTCAGACATGACATCTCCACTGCCTCCAGCCTTCTCCTCGCTGCAACAGTCCATCACCCACGCTTCACACCCATATAAGAGCGTTGGTAAAACTATACTCTCATACATTCCCCTCTTTGCCTCCAAGGACAAAGTTCTTTGTCTCCACAGACTCCTAAGTGCACCACTCACTCTTTTTCCCTCATCAATTCTATGATTCACCTCATCTTTCATAGACCCATCCGCTGACACGTCCACTCCCAAATATCTGAATACGTTCACCTCCTCCATACTCTCTCCCTCCAATCTGATATTCAATCTTTCATCACCTAATCTTTTTGTTATCCTCATAACCTTACTCTTTCCTGTATTCACCTTTAATTTTCTTCTTTTGCACACCCTACCAAATTCATCCACCAATCTCTGCAACTTCTCTTCAGAATCTCCCAAGAGCACAGTGTCATCAGCAAAGAGCAGCTGTGACAACTCCCACTTTGTGTGTGATTCTTTATCTTTTAACTCCACGCCTCTTGCCAAGACCCTCGCATTTACTTCTCTTACAACCCCATCTATAAATATATTAAACAACCA